TACCCTCATGCCAGGAGGAGCCCAGCCGAGCAGGTCGGGGGGACGCGGAGGGCCCCACAGAGCACCACCTTCGGGGTGACTCACCCCTCCTCCCAGAGCCTGCATGGGTCAGTTCCTCTGCCTCTGTGTCAGGAAGAGGGTCGGGGTCACAGCCGAACCACAGAGGAGGTGGCAGGAGTCCAGGCGGCACAGGGCCTGGGAGCCCAGGTCACAGCTCTGTCCGCACCACCCCAGGGCACCTCGAGTTCGCTCTGCACGCAGCTCCACAGGGGGCTGGGGGGACAGCGCAGGGCTGGGGGGACAGCGCCGCCGCCTGCCCACAGGCAACAGCAGGGGTTTCTTTCCGCCACACCTCGTGATGGGTTTCAATTCCCTCCTGGCCACGCAGTTTCCTTCCTGCTGGCCTCACCGGGGAAGACCCACTTGTCCCGTCTGCCATACACCGGTTCACCCACAGGCCCTTTCCCTGGCATGCATGCACACACATTTGCCTAAACACGGGCACACGCACGCATGCTTGCACGCACACACCTTCCCAGGTCACGAGACCACGCTTCCTTTCCAGCCAGCCCGACCGCCAGGGCACAGACGCCCCAGGCAGGCACAGCACCCTGAGACGCACCCAGGGGACCACCCAGAGTGTGAGCCGCCCTGCTCAGGCGCAGTGTGGCAGGAGGGGCAGGGCCACTCCCGCCGCCCTTCTCTCTACCCAGCCCCTGGGAGCAGGTCTCGAGCCTCGTGGCCTTACAGTGTGCGGTCGCTGTGGGGACCGAGAGGCCGTCCCCAGCCCCTGCCCCAGGATGCTCCCTCACCATCCAGAGCCTCCGCGGTCTTCCCACCTGTAAACTGGGACGATCGCCGTCCTCCCTTGCTGCAGGGACTGGGAGGGTTAAGTGAGTTGGGAGTGCAGCGCCCCTAGAACAGCGCCTGGCACACAGGAGGCCCGCAGTGCTGATAAGGCCACCGTTATTATGAGGTGCATTATCGTTGCTATTGTTTTGTTTTTTGGATTAAAAATTGCTCTCCCCTTGGGACCAGCAGATAGCATAATGGTTACGTGGCTGGACTCCCACGTAGTTGACTGCAGTTCAAGTCCCGGACCCAGTGTCTTAAAACTCACACCAGGCGTGTGTGTGCGTGAGTGCCCAAAATTCCAAGAGGAGAATGGACAGGGGACTATGGCATGGCCATCCCCCTTGGGAGGGGGGTGATTTCTCACTTTCTGTCTCTGTCTCTCAGATAAGTGCGTGCACCCTATAGCAAAAATCTCTCTTAAAAAAAAATGACTGTCCCATATTTGGGATACCACTCGCCCTGTGAGAGGATTAGCTGGAGACAGGCTTGCTTTCTTCCTGGTTATGGGAAGAGTCCCGGGCCGGTGGGTGGCCGCCAGCCCCTTACCCTCACTTGTCTTGGCACCGCAGACAGGGCCACTGCCCAGTTCCAGGGTGGGCAAGGCCTGCCCAGCCCTCCACCCAGGACAGGTTGCTAGATTTAGACATCGAGAACGGCACGACAAGGGCAGGAGGTCGCCGCGCCGAACCCCAGGAACACGGAAGTGCACCGTGCCTCGTGCTCCCTGCAGCACCAACCGCGTGC